TCCTAGCTCGGCGACTTGGGGGACTCCTACTACATGGTTTGTATCGCGCTTGACCAAGCCTGAAACTACAAGTAAGCTTCAAATGAAATTGATACATTACCTTGTGCATCCCTACCGGTTAAAGATACCACCCTTGTATGAAGGAAAAGTACTTCCAAAGAAGATGCCACATCTACCTATGAGACAGAAAAGGCAAGTGAAGACAATACCACACTGCGGTACTTAGAAGTTTCGTGATTACTCAGCGGCGTGGATCTTGCAAGTCCCCTACCGAAGAGCTTTCCTCACTCGGGAACTTAGGGGACCACTGTTTGTACCATACTTGACCAATCCTGAAACTACCGAGCTCTGGTCAACGTTATACCGTCAAGGACCCATAGGAGTTTCCCTCCAACCAAGAGGCCAATCATAGTGCGACACGTGTCTACATCAGAAGCCAATCATAGCACGACATGTGTCAACATCGGAAGCCAATCACAACACGACACGTGTCAATGTTAGAACAAGCTAGAAACTATCTTCTATAAAAGGAGATCATTCTCCCACAATATTTCCTAATATCATTTGTAATAAATAATTCACTAGAACTCACTAAAGGAGAGCTTGAACCTATGTACTTGTGTAAACCTTTCATAATTAATGAGAACTCCTCTACTCCGTAGACATAACCAATCTGGGTGAACCACGTACATCTTGTGTTTGCTTCCCTGTCTCTATCCATTTACATACTTATTCACACTATTGGCCAGAGCAATCTAGCGAAGGTCACAAACTTGACACTTTCTGTTGTACCAAAGTCCTCATTGATTTTGTGCATCCACACAGCTGATGGACATAATAATTACATATCTCTATAGGGATCTTGATACGGAAATTTATATGAATGTTCCCAAAGAACTTACATTGACTGGATCAAATATTTCCAAACCCCGGAACACACTCTCAATTCGGCTGATGCGTTCACTATACAGTTTGAAGTAATCAGGAAGAATGTAGTATAACTATCTGAGTGAGTATTTAACTAGTCAGGGATATGTGAACAACGAACTACGCACTTGTGTGTTTATTAAGAAGTCGCATTCTGGTTTTGCGATTGTTACAGTTTATGTCGATGACATGAATCTCATCAGAACTCCTAAAGAGCTCGCGAGAACTATCGTGCACCTGAAGTCAAAATTTAAGATGAAAAACCTAGGAAAGACTCGATATTGTCCCAGTCTCAAGATAGAGCATTGTTCGAATGAAATCTTAGTACATCAATTGAACTACACCATAAGGTGTTGCGTCGTTTCAACGAGGATAAAGCGAAGCCTTCGAGTACTCATATGGTCGTTCGATCGCTAAATGCAAAACGAGATCCCTTCTGTTCGAATAAGGATGATGAAGAGATTTTGGAGCCTGAAGTTCCTTATCTAAGTGCGATAGGCACTTTATTGTACTTAGCTCAATGCACTAGACCTAAAATCTTCTTCGCTGTTAATCCTTTGGAAAGATACAATAATGCACCAACACGCAGACACTGGACTGGTGTTAAAGACATTTTCTGCTACCTTATGGGTACTACGGATCTGGGCTTGTTCTATCCCTACCTATCCTCGAGTGATGCCGCACATCCTTATCTTGAGTCGATTCTCGCTTTGTTGGTTATGCTGACAGATGATACTTATATGATCTGCACAAGGCGAGTTCTCAAACAGGTTATGTCTTTCCCGTTAGAGGCACCGCAATCTCTTGGAGGTTAACTAAACAGACCTTAGTTGTCATTTTGTCTAACCATGCTGAAATTCTCGCCTTACACGAAGCAACTCGGGAATGCTTTTGGTTGATAGCAGTTGTGGGCCATATTCGAAGCTCCTACGATCTTTACCCCATTGTTGATGTCCTGACGATGATCTATGAAGACAATGCAACATGCATCGAACAGCTCTAGTAGGGTTACATCAAAGGAGACTACACCAAGCACATTGCACCAAAGTTCTTCTTCTTACATGAACAACAAGAGCATTAGAAGATTCAAGTCACGCAAATCTGTTCACAAGACAATCTGGTCGACCTCTTCACCAAATTACTACTGAAGGCAATGTTTCAGAAGCTTGTTCAAGGAATTGGTATGTGTAAACTTTCTAAGTTGTTACATTGCTAGTTCTCTTTGGAATTGTGTCAAACTCATAGGGAGTATCCTGAAGTATACTTGCTTGATCTTAATGTACTCTTTTTCCATACAATTAGAAGCATTTTTCGCACTGGGTTTTTGGTACCTAACGAGGTTTTGACGAGGTACCCACTTAGGTTGATCATATCCCAGATGACATCCCGTAGACGTTTTATTTGACTTTGCATTTTTCCTTAGACTATGGATTTTGTCCCTACTCGGGATTTTACCATAGCCTTAGGGTTTTTTATAAAACTTACTTTCTTATGCAAGTTCCTACCTTATTTGAGAATAGGATGTTCCTAGAATCAGTGTCGACAAGTCGACTTCCTCATCCTTTACATGATGCTGAATCTACTTGAGTATTTACACACTCAAGGGGGAGTGTTATAAACTTCTAGTTTAAGTGTGATTGTGTAAATCCTAGATTTGATTTGATTCTAGTTATTCTTCCCTATTAGGACTTGTATTCCTTGGAGGAGAAGGATTTCTTCTCTCTCTTATTACTATAAATAAAGACACTGCGTATGGGGAATAACACATCCTCTACACAACCCTACAAACACACCTCTCTATATTTCTCTCTATGCCGTTGGCCCCCTTCTCCCTGTCAGTTAAATATAGGCGACAACATGACCAACTTTTTCAAAAAAGTTATTCTTACCATCTATTTGTACCATCATTGGTACCATCTCTCTGATAAATAATGGGACCCACATATGTTGGTGGGCCCTACCTCTATTGGAGATACAAATAGATAGTAAATGTAGCACTACTCCAACTTTTTAGACCAAGTTTGCAAACTATATAGTGTGTCACGGATAGCTAAAAAAACACGTTAACCAATACTTAACTAATAATCTAATCATCAGCGATCACGCCATATAGTTTACAACATTTATTTTAAAAAGTTGATCTCCCTAGCATAACTCTTAGAAAAATAGTTGTAGGAAGCTGAAGAAGCTTCAAGGGTATTTTGAATATCCCTGTTTTGGAGTCAAAGAGCATGTTTAAGCTCCTGGCCATGGATACACGGTTAACCTAATCCCCCCCTGCCATGTCGCGATCATCCAATCATTGTCAGAAGGCAGCGCAGTCAACAGGAGCTAATGAAACCACTCCTTGTTCAAGGTCATAACCAACAAAAAAGTTCTGCCGCTGAATGTTTCCAAGTGTGGACAGCTTTTCATCGGACCTTATAATTGCAGGGCACCAGAGTCCCCGTCTCTACTTCGATGCAAGTAGTTTGCTTCGCTAGCATGCCTTGTAAAAGAAATGTCGCATCCGCTCCTGCAGAGTCCAAGTCCTCGAAACACAACGCGAACCATTGAGGACCTCTTCTTTGCGGCAATTGTATGGCTTCCCGTAATGCCTTGACCAATGCATCGAATGCTTCTTGCCGAAGCATTGTGTATGTTGTGCCGGAATCAATGATAGACGCGCCTTCACCATCACTTATCATGTTAAAAATCTCGTCAGGGAGAGGAACATTTGGATCACCGACGTTAATTCCATTGAGAGTCAGACGCTAATTCCAACTGACCAACATCGACAGGGTTCCCGAAAGGATCTTCAAACGCAAACTTCTCATGTGGAAGAGTTCCCCACGCTGAAGAACGATCAACATATTCTAGTCTGTAGGAGCAAGGTTGGCAAATATCATCCCCTACGCAGGTTCTAATGCGCGCTAGAACCTCGCAAGGTTTGGAGACGGCTTTGCAGGGTTGAAGATGTTGGAATTTTCTGAGCATTTCACCCAAATGACTTAAGCTTCCGGGGTCAATGTAGGCGGTGTCAATGAAGGCATGCAATTGAGTAGGGGGAGTGCCTATCGAGAAAGCCACTATATACTCTCCTTGTTCGGGGAATAACCTAGATGACGTCTCACGATCTCGGTCTGAGGATGGAAAGGCAGTGGTGAGGGAGTGTATGCGATTAAGGTGCGAGAAAGAACGATAAGCAGCTGCTTGTGATCTAGGGCGGTCATGGAATGATTGTATAGTGGGGAGAGAGGTGAGTCGCGGTGGACCAGACGGACCGCCAAGCCATCAACGAAACTACCGCCGATGGCGGTTACGAATTGAGCAAAGATGATGCACAGGGAGAAGAAAATGCTGGGAAAGAGAGGCAGCAGCCATATTCCAACATACGAGATCGAATTGAGGAATGCTACGGGACTCTCAAAGTGGAATCCCTCAGCATTTGTCGAATAGAATTACCATATATATTTGCGAGCTAATGTGAAGTGTGAAAGAGATGAAACAGCATCTCAAGAAAAGTATCGAGGATGTGGTACCATTTTTTTGGCACAGAAAAAGTTATGGTTTCACCTTTGAAAAAATAGCCATAAGAAGATGGAGAAAAAGCTTCAAGGGTGTGAGTGAATAAAATAATAAGACACCCATGTCCAAGGTCCTGCCCGTGGAATTTTATGTAAGATGTACGCTACGTCCGGCTGCCTACGCATGTGGGCAATATTTCCGAGTTTATGCATGTGTGATCCACAATGCGATGATGCATCAACAATCAGATTTCACACACGAGCGCTAATGACTGGAACTAGCCAAATTCTAGCAGTCGGTACTCAGGCGTGTAAAACATGGGAAAGTATACTCTCCACGCCGTCCGTCGGGAAGATTCATCGACCATATGGTGGCCATCCAACAAATCATTATCAAAAGGAAAACCCATCCAAGTATGTACTTTGCAATCATCACCATAGAATGGAGTAAGAAGACCTTAAGTTAGATTCACGCACACTGAGTCAGACCGAAGACGAGAAGAGAATCACTTTAAATTGGAAAACTGGGAAATGGTCCTCACATTTCTAAGATGTTCTAATAGCATGTTTAAATTCTGAAAATGTTACCATAAGTTTCCAACTATCCTCTTGTTCAAAAGATCTAGCTAGAATGCTAGAGAGTAAAATTAAACTATCAAAATATCCCTCCATATCACAAGACCAAAACCATGTTTCAACATGAAAACGTTAGAAATGACACAATCAAATGACTGACATAACAAAATTTGTTATAATCTAACGCACCATTGAGAAATCTGGGAGTGTCTTCCTAAGGAGAGTGGGTTATTGGGATGGATGCTCATCAACCAAGGCAGAAAAACGTGGTTATCTCTCTTTTACAGGATACAAACGGCATGTGCAGCTTCAGATTTTCAGGCTCTACCCTCCGGAGTTCAATAATGAATACCTTCTTTGGTGGTTAGGTCCTCAATGTTTGCGCTCACTTGTAAGCCCGTGTTTAATAGGGAACTAACCATTGTAGGGATATCAGCGATTAAAGATGCAGCTAATGCCTGGACACGGGAACAACCACGTAAGCTTGAGTTCTCAAACCGACTATTGAACAAGCATAGCTGTATAGGTATCTAATTTTCTTTTTTCAAAAACAACTGCATAACTGGTATACCTTTCTGTCCTCTTCCTTCTGGCGCCTAATAACTTCTAAGGGCCACTCCCTAACCAACTTTTCAAGCTCAACCACGATGCGGGACTTCTTTGTATCAGGTAAAATCTGGCATAGAGAAATCCCAATGGCCTCAGCAAATAGGAAAACATAAAATAAGATCATATTGGTACATGTTTGACCAAAATTTTTGCCCCCTGTAGCTAACAATGGAACTCAACCCTCATGAAAAACCAATATAGAAACTATTCCCTTTTTGTATGCCAAACATATATCAATGGGTGGACAGATAATTAGCATTGCAGCTTCATTCATTCAACAGAGATTTCTTAGTACTGTATAAATACGTTATAGTTCCACTAAAGACTGGGATTTAAATTAGGTATGAAAACCTCAAAAGTTCTTTTCTCTCCCTAATATAAGTATAAAGCATGAGTAACCAAACCTGATTTAGAACTTGAATAACGGAAGCAGCTTCCTCGGGCTTACGTTCTAAGAGAAAACCCTGCAATGAATTTTGAAAAATAAAAATGAAAAAGCCAGGGTGAGTTGGCTGAAAACTTGAAACCAATCAACAAAGCTCTAACTGGAGATGCTGAGGCAAAGCTCCGACTTAAGTTCTCTTTATTTTATTTTATTTGCTTCTTAAGAGGAGCAGTTTCGAACTTAAGGACCTTTTCAGTTTTCCACCATTGAAAAAGAAATACCACTCAGACCAAGAGCTACTTGGTTCTAGTTTCATAGAATCCGTTTAACCAGATATACAAGGACTGTGAATTAACTGGTTATAACCAGGTTTGGGTGGTTCTCTTCCATTTAGGGTAGTAGAATCCTCCATCTCCAGTCCATTGCTTAACTGGACCCATTTTAAGTCATGTTAACAAATAGGTAACAACTTTTGTTTTTGGTTTTGTGTTTGTGTTTGCGTTTGCGTTTGTGTATGTAAGGTTCAAATTCAATACCTTAGCACATGAAAGTCCACTTGCAACAGTATGCTGCTTCATTGATTCAGATCTTAACTTCTCAGCTTTCCACAATGATTCAACATCTCCTGCAAACAAGAAAGTAGAAATTCTTTAAATAATGAACAGGAAACCAGAAAACAGGAAAATTTTCATATGAAGCAAAAGAAAGCATAACCTAAAGTACTGGCATGACTGAGGATGACAATAGAAAAGGAATATTATTTGGGATTATAAAATATAAGAGAACTGTGATTTTGAAGAGACCTATTTTAGCAGCAAAATCCATCCATGAATCAAAAGCAGTTTGACGTAGCTTTACTCCAGCTTTGACAAACCTTTTTGAGTACTTTGACATCAGCTGCCAATTATCGGTATTGTAACAAATGCTGCAAATGGTCAACCCAAAACGGATTTAAGATCATATTAAGAACAATTCAAAAGCCACAAAATAAAACCCTATAGAAAGCTATAAACTTTTATAATGATTATCTTATTTCTCACAACAATTGTTTTAAAAGAAAGAAGAGCATTACTGAGGCACTCCTAGTTTATAACCTAGGTACCTGAAAACAATATCTGCAGTACCGGGTTGCAAGGGTAAGTCATTCCTCTTCAAAAGTTTCATTACTTCCACCATAAGTTTAGCATCATTGCGTTCTTTAGCATACAACTGCATCCAATTTACAGCAAGAATTTATTGCATAGATGAAGTACAAGAGAAACCCAAACAGTCGAAGTGCAATTTCATTGGTACCAGTAAATGGTGCGCAGATCCAATGCTAGGATCCAATCCATACACATTATGTTTCCACAAGGCCTTCTTTCCTGCAATGTAAGATACATGCATGGGTTTCTCAAAAGTGTAGACCTAGTAACAACTCAAACTTAAGGCCAAAGAATCAGATTAATAGTATACCAAAGTCAAGAGCTCCCACACAAACACATGCCTTAGTAACCTCTCGGCAGAGATTGCAATTAAAATCAGAATGGATGCGAAGATTTGACAGTCTCTGCAATCAGAACCAAATCATACAACTGCCAACAGAAACAAATTACACTTCACTCTTAAGATGCAAGCGAAAAACTTAGGAACTAACAAATCTTCGAAGGTTCTGCAAGATGTCAAATAGAAGCTTAATATCTTCTTCCTTTTTGCAATTTTCAATCAATGACCATAACCAAGCATTAGGGGGCATTGATCGTTTGATATTAACAGACTGCAGCATTTTATCATACAGGTCCTTCACAACCTCTGCACCCAACAAAGCAAAGCAGATATTACCAAATGGACTAAAACAACAACCCTAACCAACTCCAGCCAAAGCAAAGCTACAACCTGTGGAACCACCTTCGATGGTACTTGCTTCAGAAGAAAAGGGTGCTCTCAATGTCATCGCTGCACATGTTGCACGTTGTTCCATCGGCAAAAGATGACCGCAAGTAATGCCTATATAATTCAGCATCTCATTATGAAATTATCGATTTGATCATATAGAATTAGTTTGTTTGCTTAGTTCACTATTCTAAGAAAAATGACCCAACAAAAGACTCTTATTTCGTAGCTTGAGATTTTCTGTTCTTTTCATTTCCTCAGGTTTCTTGTCAACCAAACGGAATCTAAACTAGTGCAAGAAACCCCAACTACAAAAATTGTCAAAAAGTAAAATTTTACTCCTTTCAAGCTCAAATTTTCTCAGTTCCAAAGAAAGGTTCATCTTTTGTTTTCCAGATATTTTCTCGGAAACCAAACAGAACATAATGCACCAAAACTTCAATTAAAACACAAAAGAATTGAAATTTTCTAGTGAGAATTCGATGAGCAAATGCTGAGGTTACCGGATAACAAGGCAGTTTGGGAAGAGCCGGCGCTTAGTTTCCGCCATTGGAGAGAAGTGAGGGGAGCTTCGACGAGTCGGGCATCGGGGGAGAGAAATTGGTCGGCGGATTTTATAAAAATGCGAGATTTGAAAGCTCTGGAGAGCCTGCGAGTGTTGGAGATCATTTGCATGGCTTTAGAGGACCGAGTCGAGGCCGAGTTTGGGGCTCTGAGTGAAGCCGGCGAGTTTTCAGAGAGAAAGAGCTAAAGCCCAGACACGGATTGAACGATCAGGGTTTTAGAGGGAAGCGAGGGCTGAAGAGAGGGGAGAATGTATTTGTGCAACGGCGGTCCATAGTTGTTTATGTGGAGCTTCGCTCGTTGCTAATTGCCATATATTACACACCCATAATTTTGATCAGGCTGATCAATTTCTTGCACGACCCGCGACATGAAATAACAGATTTTGGATCAATTCGTTACGAGTTGGTTCGTTTTTGGATCATTTGTTAAAAATCTGTTAACAAATTGGGTCGTTTTTTAATCACTCATTAAGATATCGTTTGACACATCTAGACATAATGGCAAATTTATACCTTATTTTTACTTCTCACATACCTTTATTAATTTTTAGCCATTGATCTTCTTCAATTCATTCAATCTGCCGATCGAACATTGAGAGTAATGTGTGAGAAGTAAAAATTAATATATGGATAACACTATCATTTTTAGTGTAAAAATATGATTTTTCGTTAATATAAACAGTACAGCAAGCTTTTCGTTAAAACCCCCCTTACATAATAAGTGGGGCTTTACGATGCAATAACATATAATTTGAACACAGGTATAGGAAGCTGTTATTACTACTCAAACAAAATCAAATGCGCTCTAATAAAAGAAACTTCCGTATCAATTTACTATTTGATCAGAATACTACACTGACGACGGACTCATTATTTTATGTAAATTATTCTAGTGTGCTCACTCATCCATAAATAGTGACATTCCACCTCAGACCCACACCCCTCTAAGAAGTTGCAGGAAATGAGTTGACGCATTAATTGGGCTCTCTAACGTTGCACAGATTGCATGGTAATAAAAACTCAATTGTTAAACGCTAAGTAACTAGTAGCTTAGTTCGTTAAGAACATTCATACTTGTTCATGACGTTTGGGTTCGGCTCGCCGTCCCCTTATCGCTTGTATGAAAATTTAATTCGTTGCTACACACAGCAAGGCAATGTGAACAGATGAAAGCAAGATGGGCATGGTTTTTATCATGTGGCGAATCTTTCACTGGTCCATAAACCACCCCCTTGAATTACAGTATAATGTTTACATCAACCCAAGACACATACAGTCACCATCAACTGGGTTTTAACCACATAAATTGGAAGAATAAGAACAATTGCCGGGAAAAAGTTCGATGGACGCATTTCAACATTCCAATCATTTGAATCATAATGCAATGGTACAAGCTTTCACTGCACCTACCAGACTCGATGATATCATTGAGGAAGAACTGGAGGGGCAATCGTGCGTGTGTTGTATGAGTTGCAGTGGTTGCATTTCTGCCCAATTATGTGGAAGTAGACTTCGGTAGTGTCATTGCAGTCATTGCAAAGGATCCATACCTGTGAATTAACATTGATTCTTAGACTTGTACTGGTAAATGGTTCCAAATTCGTGACGCATGATGTTATATGGAAATGGATATTCAGGATTTTACACCACAGAGGTATTGTTTTTTATAGGTAGGCCTGAACATGGATAAAAAGTACGCACCTTCTTATACCGGTAATCCTCAGGCATAACGGTTGCTTCTATCTGGCAGTGTGCATTCAACTAATTAGTATGAAATCTTCATTGTCATCACATAATTGAGATAACTAAAGAACCAACGCAAAATGTGAATTAACTGCGAAACACTTTGAACTTGAACTTGAGAAGCCTACCTCCTCGTCAATTCTCTGCCAGGTTCTGGACATGTCAATCACTGACTTGGAGCATATCGGACAACAATATCTGAATCGTTTAACCAGTTTGAGTTGGGAATCAATAATCATCTTTTGACTTGTAAACTAATGATATTAAAGTGAAGCCGCTTACTTGTCACGCTGCATCATTTCATTGTAACATTCGCGGTGCATTGTGTGCCCGCATTTCATTACAGTAGTGTCTTTCAGAGAGTCAAAAAGAAACTACACAACACAATATGATAGAATATGTACTGTTAGTTAGGGCATGACAAAGGTCCCCTACTATTGTATAACTACAACAGACATATCAACACAAACCTCGTAACAAATAGGGCAGTGATGACGCATGGAGTTCTCCACACACAAGTGATTATCACGTAAGCGAATTGAATAGCAAGACCCTGAAAATATATAAAGCATCATTATATTCTGGACTCTTACCAGAATATTAATGTTACAAAGTAAAAATGAGAATCTGTCATAAAATCCGAACGGCCTTTGAACAATGATTGGTAGTCTGCAACCCAACACTGGATTTCCAAAACTTAAATTAGCACTCGACCTGGAAACACTATGATCCAAAAGACAGATCTGAGGAAATTAAGCGGTGAAACTAAAAAGCACAGACTTCATTTATCTAAAGAATAACTAACAGCAAGAAGTTCATTAACGAAGGGAAGTTCCCAATTTCAGAAATAATATTTGCATAATGATTCTAAGCAAGCACATACCACATTTCTTGCAGTGAAAGAATTTGTCACGACCCCCGATTCTGTTTTTCGATATGAAAAGTCAGATAAAGAAATTCCTTAATGCCACGAAATTATATGACAAAAATGAACCGTGTAGCAAAAGAAAATAAATACTGAAATTGTACTAACCTGCAGATCCCACAATCATTACAATGAAACTGTTCTTTCGTGGTCTGCAACGCATAAAAAGAAAAGTTTACTTCAATAAGGAGCAAACCATCAACAAAATATACAGATCACAGACCAACTACCAGATAAACCAATAAGGTCAAAAGAACAGGCATTTAACTAAATTTGTTCGTCAAATTTCCAGGTCCGATAATTCACTTTGAGATTTGAGATTGAAGTTAACTTACATCATCATCATAGAATTTGCAAATGTCACAGAAGTATTCCCCCATACTGATGCCGCAGTTTGTACAAACTTTTGCAACCTAAAATCAACATAGATATTCAAGAGCATCAGAACCAAGACAACATTTTTCTTTGTTCCATCTTTTAATTTGGATTACAACCAACAAAGTACGAAAACAAACCGGCTGCTCTGTGTCACAAACTGAACAGACAACCTGAAACAGCAACACAAACAAACACAATGAGCACACTCAAAAAAGTAAAGACACAATTTATAAAAGCAGATGTGGGTTCAGCCAGTTGGCCGGGCACTGAACCAGCCTCATTGCACCCGTGTTCGAATCCTTCTTTTTCGAAAAAATGACATAAACCACAAACAGAGGGTATAATATAATGTCACATACTTGTTTCACATCGTAGCGAACAAGCTCATGCCGATCAAAGGGGTTGCTCAACATGCTCTGAGAATATCAAACATATATTACAGACCAATCACCAATGTCACTAATTGAAATATGAAATGCTTGTTCACAGTTAAACGTGACAAATACCGTGGCTTCGTTGTGACAATGGCGGCACGGATGGATCTCGTTGCAGCACGGAGCTCGAATCTGGCATCTTCTTCTGTAATGCTTGCATCTGCAGAGACAATCAGCCATAAAAACGAAACCCAATTCATATTTCTCGCAAGCGAACCAGAAATTCGAGGATGAAGAAGCAGGGGAAGGTCGAAATGGTGGTTTACCCGTAACCCATCTTCCCAAAATCAAGACGTTCGTTGGCTGAGCCTTCCATGAGAGTTGGAGGAGGAATTGCAGAGGGGAAGGCTAAAGAATGAATGGAAGTTTCCCGATTTGGGAAGGATGGGTTGGCTCTGTTGGCTTGGCCTCTTTGTCTTGAGTCCTCGATTAGAAAGAGCCAGAGCCATCACGTAAAGGATCGCCTTTCCATTAAAAAAGTCATTATTTTTCTTCTTTTTTTTCAAGGATTAAGCTGTAAAATAATGGGAAATAAGAGTTTTGGGAAAAAAAGATCTAAACTTTTTTTTTTTTTTTTGTGAGTTGCCATGGTTGCATTTGCTGCTACCCACTTGGACAGACAGATGGGAGAGGGAGAGGGAGAGGAAGAGAGAGAGAGGATAAGGTGGGGTTGGCAGTGGCTGGTGGACGTTGATGGAGAAAAGGACAGGCGCCGTTAGATGAGCGAATCGGATTGGAGAGAATGAGAGGCAGGCTGACCAAAACAATCAATCTTGTTTTCCTATGGGCATTTTAACAAACACCAGCTGGGCATAATTATTAATTATATCATCACTTTCTCCCTCTTCCCCTTTTTCATGGAGAAGGGGAATGAACCCCCTTGAATGAAGAAATCAGAACTGAAATTCAAGCAACTTTCTTTTTATTTTCTTTTTTCGAGTTTGTCTCTCGTAGTCCAGCTTATTAGGTAGTTTGGTTTTTTAAACAATTTTATTATTTAGTAGTATCGGATTATTGAAGACAACGTTTTACTATAATGAAGAAAAGTAATCACGTATATGCATCCTGGTGCATATTTGATCTACACTAATTTCGCTCCCTTCGTAACAACTAATTATTTAACGCATAAATGTCATCACACTACTCGGTAGTCCAAACTATTGAAATTTTTATTTTGTCTAAACGTTCACTACTGGCTTAAAATTTAATAACAGAAAAGCAGTTAAGATTCCTCACTATCACTTGCTTCATGCATTCGCAAGAAATAACCTAGAACTTAAGTAAACGGGATTTTAAATTCACATCATTTTCATTGAATAGAACTCACATTTATATTTCAAAATTTTTTATGAGATTGTACTTTTACATCTCAAATCCACATCTCTCCATTGAAGATGTTTATGAATATTGATTTATGAGACTTTCTAATAAGAATCCGCGTGTATAGCATAACCGGGATCATTAGCCTCCGAATTTTGTTTATTGAATTGTTAATCATACTAATACTAATACATGTTATACACAGAAGCATAATAGAATTTATATTGCTCGATTGCAAAGTTTACAAAGACATTATAAGAGACCAAAAATTGGAGAAGAATAATGTTTGATAATAGAAAAAGCACTCTCAGTCACCAGCTTTAATATAGACGCAAGGAGTGAGTAGCTTTTCTCCCATGTTTGTTTGTCTCTCTCACGCTACTTGATAAAACTTTGTACCTCCATTACTTTTCTTATCCAGTTCAATTCATACGACTCTAGTCAAGATATTGTGGGACAATATTGCCAATCTAGCTCCATACTTGGAACAATAATTCACAACCACTGAAGAAACTTTATCAAGTTACTATTGACATTACAAAAACCTCATCGTATATTTTATTAGTGAAATAAATAAAGGAGGAAGTGTGCATGATGAATTCTTAATCAACGTTTGAAAGTTCGTTTGATTATGAAAAATTAAAACGTAAAATTTTGAGAGCCTATTCATCTTGTTTAAATTAAAATACTTACAATTTGTCGTTACTATTTGTGGTTGATACAAATAAATTTCATAATGCATTAACGACTAAAAATCACTCCACATACACTAGCACAACTCAATATGTCATTAATCGGTTATTCGTAACACTAAATTGCACGAGGTAAAATCCACATTCTTCTTTTATTAAGCTAATATTGTCATGAATTTGAGATTAACTGCCTCTACTGTATGTTCATTATTTAAAACAAAATATGAGGTGGAGATGACATGACATCACATGCATCTAGCGATTTATGGGAAAAAAAATTTTATATTAGAGATTTATGGGAAATTGAAACTGCTTCTTTCTTGTACATTTCCAAGTTCTAGAGAGTTGCCCTAGTTGTTTATGCAAATTTTTTATTATGATTGAAATACGAATGATATGCCACGTGTTTTTATATAAATGATGAAATTTTTTAATATTTAAGTTATTAATTTTTTTAACCCACATATCTTATTATTTGTACAATAACATATAGTATCTCATCCCGTATTACAGTCACACTGAAAAATTTCTCATCTATTTGATCTTGTTTGTTGATGATATTTAGCCATTTTAGGGGTCTCTGCAATGGATGTTATTGAAACCTGAGATACATACAACATTCAAGTGGGACTTCTCAATTTTGGTTGGTCTTCTTCCCTCATGTCTGCCATAACGGTCCCCAAAAAAATTTGCAACTCTCTTCAAATATGAGGTGAGATTTTTCTCTATTAGTAAATACAATTCGATATGTCACGTGATATAATATAAATGGAGAAGAGTAATGTTAAGTGAACTAATTTTTAAGATCACATTTGCAAACCATCCAATATGTCGCTAATAGGAAATAGCATATTAATCAATACCTAAGTAATAATTCAATCATCAACAACCACGAAACATGGTTTACAAGATATGGTTTAAATAGATGGTCTCACTAGCATTACTCAGATAGAGGAATTGTATAATTTTCAGTGTCTCTAGTTTTATTCTAACACATTGTATATTGTTTTGTGTTTCAAGTACACCGAAAAAGCTCTCATACGGAAAAGGGAAATGAGAAGTAATAGAGATTTTTAAGTATGTGAATTGTATAACACACACTAAAATTTGTAATCGTCGAATTTTTATTCATTAGATCCTCGATCGCACATTTAACTGCTCATTCCTCTGATGTGTGTCATACGCCGAAGCATGATAGGACTTCGATGAGAGTGATTTTCTCATAGTCTCACTTCAAATATATCCTTATATTACTATCTGGCCAAAATGTGTGATTGTGAATCCTGGACTTCTTTTAGATTGTGTATTTCCCTCTGCAGTTTATGATTCTAAACCTTTGGTCTAACATGAACGCATTCAAACTACCAAACGAAAGTCTTGTTTTGTTATTTGGTTTTTCAGTTTTCTTCTTCTTTCTTCCCAATTTTTCCAGTTGATTTGCTCTTCTGTATATTCCACAGTTAAGAAATATAAAATATGTATTACAGAATTCAACTCATCCCAAAAACCTTTTACTTAGGGGTGGGACGGTTCGGTTGAATAAGTTTTACCTTTAAACTGCAACCGAACCAATTAACTTCCAGTGGTACGATGTGGTTCAATTTCAACTAAAACCAGTGCAGAAACCAATTTTCCAGTGTTTCATGTTCTCTAAGTTATGTTTTGGTTCGCTTCAGTTCAGGATTACACTTTTTATTTTAAACTTGAACGAAATTATTCAGATTTGCTTGATTTAGTCGGTTTTTTCCTTCTATCCCATCTTTATTTTTTATCTGTAATTTTCCCATCTTCGTTCCTTCGTGGCTTAAGGTTTGCCATTCCAGATTTCTTTTTTCTGGGCAAAGGCAGTTTATAGGTTTTTTAAAATTAAAAAAAAACCGACCAAAACCAATCCAAATTGAAAAAAAAAACTAAACCGAACACAAATCAAACCGGAAAAACCCAAAAAAGACCAAACGGAACAATAATTTCAGTTTGATTTTGGATTTTGGAAAACAACCGAGCCGAATGAACCGAACCCAACCTAGCAAAAAGTTTTGAATGCATGCATCAACTTTGCCAAACTAAATGTTTCCTAATTACTAACCTAGCTAACTGTCTTTTTAAATATATGAATTTATACAATGAAAATACATTATTTGTAAGTGTTAGAAAGTTAAAAGGCAAGTGAATCTGCTTTAGGGCCGGCCCTGAGGGTAGCCTGAGTAGGCGTCCGCCTAGGACCTCCACTTCGGAAGGGCCCCCAACTTTTAGGCAGAGCTATGCAGGTTTACATGTAAACGCTGGAATCTGGAAATCTTTTGTCGCAGGGTCGACCTAACGCGAGGAAGAAGACAACCTTATTCCCAACATCATTTTAATTGCACGATTTTACTTAAGATGATCTCACTATCTTTTTTTATAGCTGCATGTCTTCTCCCTTTTAAATAGTTCCCACCATCTTATTTTTACTTTTTTGCTTCTCTCTTAAATATCACCTTTATGTTTATTTTTATGGGATTTTATTACCCTATTTTAAGATCACATCATATATGTCTTTATTATGTACCTAAAAGGCTAAAACTCACCTTTTTGAAAAATGACATTATTTAATGTTCAAATTAATTAGTTTATATAATATATATAATAAATTATTTAAATCCGCCTCGTCCGCCTAGGCGCGTATACGAAAATTACTATCATCTTCACTCTAGTATTTTCCCTGGCTGTAAGATTTTGTAATTCAACCTTTCATTTATTTGTTGAATGTAATAAGTAACATTGTAACAATAGAAAAACGATTGAAATTTGGCGTACTGGGTAGGGACTTCTCTTTTGGTTTGAATTGGTTGAAAAATTAGATTATGTAAACCTAATAAGTGCATTTGCATCTAAAAATGTGAGACGAGTAATATTTGAGTAATCTTTGTATATCTTTCTTTTTTGCAATATTAATTTTTAAAGATATTTGATGTAGAAATAGACTTTTTATGTATTTAGTAAATTTTTTTTACACATGTCATAGTACAAAGGGTCGGGAGTCGGATAACTCTAGAGTTCCACTTTAAAAACTCGCCTAAGGCCCCAAATTCTCATAACCGGCCCTGATCGGCTTATATGCAAGTAAAATACACCAAGCAACGTTGACGTGTTAATAATGATGAGCTGCCAAGACATAAAATCCATCTCCACCTTCGAAACACAACGAATAAAACGGTTCTATATAAGCTACGTACACACCTGCATGCCAGCAAATTACACCCATGCAAACCACAGCTCCAACACAAACAAATAACAAAATCAAACACAAAAAACAGCTTCCATTTCTTCCATTTCTTCCATTTCTCACATCTCTCTCTTCCCCATATTATTAAAGGGAGCTCGAGCATTAATTCTTTTGTCTCGTTCTCTCCTCTGCCCAATCTCTACATCTTCGAGACCTCACAACACACAAAATATTGAAAAATGGGTTGCGGGGAATCAAAGTTGGCGGTTGCCACCAGCAACACCATCCTCCGCCGCAAGAAATCGAGCGTTGTCGAACCTTCCAAGAAGAGCAAGGACATAGAAACCGTCCTAGAAAACAATGACAATGCAGCGAACTCAACGGTGCAACAACAACAAGAAGAACAAGTCGAGGAGAACAATGTGGTTGCCAATAATGTTGGTGGTGGTGAGGCGTCTGCGGTGGGTGATGATGTGAATGTGAAAGACATAGAAGTAACCAACAAGGACGGAGAAGATGGTGGTAAGGAAGTATTGGAAAAAGGTAATAAAGAAGAGCATGACGAGGCGGCGGAGAGATTGATTTCGCATGGCTCTCCGAATCGTTTCTTTTCGTCGAGGAAATTGGATGAGGAAGGAATTGATGGGATTATTTCTGAGGGACGATCGGGGACATCAGACTATTACACTCCACGCCATGGAAGTAAGGGAAGTTTTTTCAAGGTAGATGATGATATTGCAGAGGATGATAACGAATTGGATCTGCCTGCAGATACAGAAGCTCTAGTAGCTGAGCCACAAAAAACGGGTTTGTAAACCACAATGTTAAATCGTTTAATTACAACATTAACGTAAAACTATGTTGATCACTTTGCAAGATTGCATGCATACATGATAATGCCGAGTAGGTCTTATTTCTAAACGGAAACATTCTCTTGCCAGACTATGAACTTGACCTATTGGTCATGTCGATTTAGCTACAACCGTATCAAGCAAACGCATAGTCTGACATAAACATACGTCTGGAAACATGCATGTAACCGTCTAACGTATTGCTGCTGATTTAATTTGGTTATTGTGTAGGTACAGAAGAGCCCGTAAAGAAACCGGAGGAGAATTTGGTGAAGAAAACAGAAGCAGTAGTTACAACCACTGTTGAAGCCAAAGTGGCTGAAGCCGCCGAACCTAAAGCTTCAATCCCTGCTGAAGAAGCGAAGAATTAATCTGAAACTAGAAGTACACGAGTGCAGGAACAATATGCGGGCGATTCACCAGCCAAGGATGAGAAGACAAGCTAAGTGCGAAGGGCAATTAAATTAGGAAAGCTAAAGTTTCTCACTTAGATTGTGTTTGTAATTGATCAGTCACCGAGTTTTTTTTGGGTTTCTGCTCCTGTCCTACAAAGTTGATCTTGCTATTCATATAACATGTAATTTGGACAGAGAATATGTAGTAGTACTGTGTGTTGAAATCTTGGAATTGCTTTCTATTTCAAAATTTGTCCAATTTCGCTTTTATAGACCAAATTCTAACACTCAATATTAATGTATTAAATAGACGTAGATTAGACTAGTTAGCCTTTGTCAGTATGTGAAACGACCTCGTATCGTTGGTGAAGAACATTATGAAACTGCGCAAAGGTTAAAGAAACTTTACAACGTTACAAAGAGCTTCAAGACATTATAGCATCCTTGCATAATTTGCCACTATATAAATTAGATTAGTTTAAAATATCGTCTTACAGTAAAAATGATGAAGAAAATTTGACGAGAAGGCGTTTTATGTTGGTTTCCTATGCTTGAACCAGAAATGACATTTGAATTTTGGACCACCTTACTTGGTTACACATGAGTTATAAGGGATGAAGATGTAGTGTAGTGTCAATGTGTCAGTGCAATCAAATTAAAGCACCGTACCAGCTTGGTAGGTTACTTGATCAAACCAACTGGAAATGATATGGAAATGTACTGTCATTGTGCAGGGCTACATCAATGTGGTCTCGTTTCGATAAAACCCGGTTGCACCTAAGATTTTTCCTGAGTTGACAACTGAGTTTTACCGGTGAGCCCAAAGATACATTAAGTGTTTGAAGATGAACACATTATATTTACACAAGTAACACAATGTCAGCATTCATATCCCAATTAGAATGAAGATGAACACATTTATATATACACAAGTCATCCGCAGCCCCGTCCCAACCCACGATATTCATCAGCTATGGCTTCTGAAAAGCAAGAGCTTTTAGGCATACAATGAAACAGCTTTTCCGGGACATACACCTACAACTGACCTCTCTCAGATTTCTTCCAAGGGAAAACATGACCGACACTCTACAGAGGTTTTGCCCCAGTATCTGGTGCTGCATTCAACTTGAGAACAGAAGTTGCAGGATCTCTGGACAGTACAAAATTTCCTCCTAGATCTGTTCTGCTGTACCCTTCTACACCAGTACCCATCACAATTCTGCACCGTCTCCAAGTCTTGGCCATTAATTCAACGCCATAATAAACTAAATGGTCCGAAATGCTGTTCCCACTCACTGACCTGCACAAACGTCTCAAAAACTTATATCATATTTTTGTGATCAGATTATTCTTTTTGACTTCATTATTTTATTATTATTCTAACCATAGAAGACTGCACTAGCGAGCTGTTATGTGTCGGAACATGATGAAAGAAAGGAACTGAGGAGACAACTACCAATTATATCACAATGTAGAAAACTGGATTACCTGCTGCACGTTGGGTCCTCGCCTGAATCATCACAGATTTTCTCAACTTCGTAAACAAGACTTTCAACTCCAATGTTATAAAGCCACACCTAGAATCAGAATAAGACTCTCAATGGTCTGAAGAGAAAGGAACTTCCAAAACAAAGGTCATAAATATACGAAGTTATGATGCCTTGTGCAAGTGTATATCAAGAGTCCTATTCATTAATATTCATCCATCTATTCAAAATATGACCAGAAATTGTAAGTCAGATATCATATTCTCATCAATTACAAATATTTCACATAATCTTAAGCTATTCACAAATAATTGGCTGTATATAAAGGGCATAAAATATTGAAAACTTAGCCACAAACAGACATTTTACAAGAAACTACTTAATCAGTTTATTTTCTGATTGATCTTAAAGGCTTCAAAGTGAATGTGTAACTAATCCACCTCTGTGGGCTAAAAAACATAAAATACTGAAAATTTGGTCACAAATAGATTTACTAGAAGAAACTACTTAATCGGTTTATTTTCTAATAGATCTTAAAGGCTTCAAAGTCAAGGCATCCAGCAATGTCAGCTAAGAGAATACCTCTCGTGGAAAGTGGTGGTATGTCTTCTGAGGAAAATAAGTATAGTATGGAGGCAAATGAGGCACCATGTCATGTGAATTTGTTACTCGTAAAGTGTTTGGTACAAGTGTGCTATAGTATGATGCAAAAGCTGCATTACCGATACGAGGTTGTCCAAATGTCATAACCTGAACATCTTTCTCTTTTTGATTGACCTGGGAATTCAAGGAAAAACATCCAATGTTACAGGTTTGAAGAACAATTCCAGAATAGACGACAATTTCAGCAAGCAGTGAATGCAATTAAACTAATTCAAATACCCTTCTGGAATAAGTTCAATCTTTTATGCCATTCAAGAAATGTTGCTGATATACTAACATATCTTGATCAGTTAAAATGAAAGGAAAAAAAATCAGTCAAATTGCAATTGGCAATAACTAAGTTTTTATAGCACATAAGTCAGGCTCTGACAAGATAAGGTATACTGAAGACCGAAACAAGATGAATCGTGGTGCAAGAAAAACTCAAACAGATCTTGCAAAGTGAAACATCCAAAATGGAGACCGGCTTAATTATGATTACCCTTAGATCAAGAGCACAAAATGAAGCCATTGCCCCTCCCATTGAATGTCCTGTAACTATGATGCCAATATCTCCATAATATTCCCTGGCTCTTTCCACAGCATTTAGAATTCCAGGGCGTATGGTCGTGTTATGGTAAGCATTATAAAACCCATGGTGCACCTAAACAGAAAAAGAATGAGAACTGATACTATATATTCCAGCAGCAACAACGTAGAGAAACTTTACTGCAATACCATTGAATCAGGCATGCCAGGATAATCTAGATCAAGTTGTTTCCAAAATAAGTCTTCAATCCAATTCTGTATGCTGTACATATAAAGAAAATCCATTAACCAACAAAATCTGGTAAAAGGGCAAATCAGATTGCCCATGGAGATACATATAATTATATTTAAAGGAAAAGCAACGCATGTACTTAATCATTGTATTTTTCAATTTTCTCTTCACCTATGCCATAGTTTGGGCTCAAATAAATAATTCAGCAGAAACTTTAATCGAGAATGATAAGAACGTTAGCCCCACACCTGTGTTCCTGAGTCCCTCTAAATGCAATAATAATAGCATTCGGGTCTTGTGCCACTCCAACAAAAGCCTGGACAAAGTTGACAATGTCATACAGAGGCAGCAAAGAAATAACCTTAACACATAAAACCAGGCTGAACTATGAAATCGCACCTGTAAGCAATGCTGGACGTCAACAATAATCTCTATCATTTCAAATCCCTGTCCCATTGAAAGGAGAAATAAGGCCAACAATTTTCAAGCACAAGAATTTCAAATTAATCAGATAAGTCTCAGTACCTTAATCAAACCATTACAGCATGAGCATGTCCAAGTAAACAGCTCTGACAAATCAGACACATAAACCTACAAAAGCAGAAATTTGATTTCAATTGTGACGGACCTTATAGCAGGTACATACTAATAGTTCAAATCTTGACATATAATCCAGAAAATCTCCATAGTTTGATTTCCACTTTAGCTAGACAGATTTAAATACTCCGCAAAAACAACCTTTTTCTATGTCACAATTACAACATACCAAGACTGACAAAGCATATGGTAAAGATTTGCAAGAGAAATGGTGAGGCTAGATGTTTCCAATAAATCCCCATAAATGGTGACACAAGCAAATATTTGATGAAACTTACCGTAGAAGCATACCGCACTAGTATAGTGGCAAGCGTGTGATTGTATATGGGGCCATGATCCTTGTGCTTAATCTTCAGTTCTGCATTTGTAAGAAGAAATTACTCTGTTAAAATGGGTCCGAAGAGTTCAACACAACCAAATTCTGATTCCAACTATTTTGATTTATAATTCTGCACACCCCAACAAGGCAAAAACAAAACCGACGTAAAAATACACAAAGAATCCACAATATACAACCAGTTTATAATGGTATAGTTCGCATCACGTATTTCCTTCTCCAAAGTGAATATAGAACCTCTTTAGTTTAGTCCCTAACAGACTGATACCAAATATCCTTTAGTAAACTGTGATAAGGTCGTACCCAGTGCACAAGGCTCCCGCTTTACGCAGGGTCTAAGAGAGGTGAATGTCGGCTAGCCTTACCCCCATTTATGGAGAGGCTGCTCCCAAGTCTCGAACCCGAGACCTACCGCTCATGGGCGAAGGCACTTGCCATCGCACCAAGTGCCACATTGTTGCAAAGGCTATCATAGACCAATTTGGAAATACATTTCTAGAAAGCACTTCAATTCATAAGCAATTGTGCTAGAAGTGCTTTTATTAGAGGCATTTAGGAAAAATTTATTTAAATCCAAGTGCTTCGCCACTCCAGGAAGCACTTTTAACTTTTCTTACCAAACCTCGTCAGAAGCGTTTTTGGTTTGCTTAGCTATTCTAAAATCACTTCTAAAATAGAATAATGACTCGGAGCTCGTTTGGAACGCTAAATCATCTTCTCTCAAAGCGCCTTCAATCATTTTAAATATACTTTCAAACGAGCCCTCGAATCACCCATTGAGTCTCCTGAATTAATTCTTCACCAACCATCAATTTCCCTTCAACCCAATTACAATATCTATGATTCTACATATACACAACAAAAAAGTCTCTAATCAACCGCTATGAACTTAAAATTTAATTAAACATAAAAGATAAAACTTTTGATGCAAAAGTTGAAAATTTTACCTCTTCCAGCAGAAAAAACAAACATCCACGTTAATATTACCAATACAAACCATCTCCTTTTCTCCATGCCCTGACCAAAAACTAGCAGAAATAAACAATTTAGGGCACAATTCAGCAATAATTAGTTGCAAGCAATCAGAAAATTAGAGAAACCGACCACCGTCACGAGGTCCCACTCCACTCAG